CCTCCAATCAGCTGCGAAACTTCTAGTATGGAGTTCCCATGGATAGCTACCTGGAGACCAGTACTCTCGATCTGGATGACCTCCAACATCGAGCAGCTCCGACAACGTCGCTACGGTCTAGGACATCATCTTCACCGCAGTCGCCAAGGCGGCAGGTTGGATAGTATAAGTATGGACCGGAGTACCTGGAATGGAAAGACCAATATTTTCTTCGTGGACCCGGACTGAAGGTGAGCGCTGGCGGTTACATCGAGCAACTCGAGAAGAATATCCTCCCACACATGTCGCCGTCCCTACCTTCTTGGAAACTTTGTACTGCTACAGCATTGGGTGCCACCACATGGAATCGAAGGGCGTTGGAGAAACTCTCGCCCACTTGGAATGGAAAGGGGCTGAGTACTTAAAGAAGATGGAATATCCAAGTAGCGTCATAAAGGGTGATGGTCGGAGAAATCGACTATCTCGCTGATCTCAGGCACCACATCGCGGTCGCGTGCCAGAATCTCTCGATGGCGCTCGTCCAGAAGGCTGTGGCGGAGTGTCATGATAGTATTTGATATGCTCTTTTAATATGGTGGTAGAAATGTCCGATTAGAATTAATAAAGTGTAACTTATACGCGCGCTCCAAAGAGCGCCTCAAAGTCAATGAAGGGAAGTGACTTTTTTTGGGCCCCTGTATGTACCTCATATCCTAGATCTGGAAGGAGCGTAGCGAAATATTTTTCATTTCAACATGATGCAGCATGCGTTTTCGGGTTGAGAGCGAAAGTTCTGTGGAATGAGCAGGGTGAAAGGCTGTCTGAGTTTATCATGTCGACCCATACCATCCATGGTAACTCGCAGTTCCAGAAGCCCTCTACGCTGGACATGGGAGTCTCCTGGTGGACAATTCCATAATGAGATCGACCACATCATCTTCAATCGAAGGTTTTGCCTGACCGATGTCGCTGTTGTTCCTAAGTTCTACACGGGATCCGACCACCGTCTCCTTCGCGCAAGATTCCGCTTTTCGAGGAGAGAGAGCCGCAAAGTTCAAGAAGCGAAGCCCCAAGACCGTCATCAACTGGGATCACTTCACTTCTCTCGCTGGGCTCTGGGAGGATTCCGTTATCGACAACATCGACGAGGAATACGAACGGCTTGTCGCACACCTTCACGACTGCGCCAAGAAGTCAGAGAGTTCCAAGATTACCAAGAAGCGTCTATCTCTGGAAACTCTCGAGCTGATTCGCCAACGTGGAGCCGCACGAGCTTCAGGCAGGGCACGCCATCGTTGTGATCATCACAACAGGGGGGGTCGTATTTGACCTCGAGGGGGGGGGGTCGTAAGCGCGGGGACCTTTCTGAAGTGAGGGTGCAGCGATACCCAGATGTCGTTCAGCTTCAATGATGAAAGACTTATCCATGTGAAGGAACCTCTGAAGAGACCCACACAAGACAGAAGCAACCTGCCAGCGCAGAAGTGGGGAACGGGCGATGACAGGAAATACGATGGCCTCCCACAACGACGTCATGAATTAATAAAAAAGATAAAGGATAAAGTCTCCGCCGTTGATCAACCCCTTTGTGGGATGCGGCACGCATTCTACTTCCATTCAGAATCGTAGTGGCTTATTGAATGCGATGTGGCCTATACAATGACTTGCGGTGGCCAGCCGATGTACAAGTCAGTGTTTTATCCTCCCAGACGAATCTGGTACCAATTTACCGTCCCCGGAGGGTAGAAGGCTTGGTTGGCCTAGGCGGGAGTCGACCCGGGATTTGAACCCGGCGCCGCGCCAATGAATATCCGCCATGAACTAATAAACAGATGAAAGTACACTTCCGCACCTTTCTATCGCAGAAGCACATCTACTTGCACGGAGGAAGCCCTTTCTAGAAGTTGCACCTTCCCAATAGCTCTGCGTGAAAGCGCTATGCATGGCGCATTGCAGAGGTGATGCCAATTGGCGCCCAATGAACTATTTCCTGATATCCTTGGCAAAAACATGCGTTTTAGAAGCATACCAAAGTCTTTAAGCCAACTGGAGGTTTTATGGCGTCGGAGGGGTTGATTTTTCGTGTCGTGGGGCAGTGATCACGCTGTGATCACAACGGGGATTTTTCGAATAGCAGGCCTAGGGATAAAATGAAAGTTTTGCTGGAAAGTAGAAAGCTTCATTGCTTCCGACACTGTTTTTCTTTTTACGAATGCTCTGTATGAAGCTTATTATGGCTGTTCAAACCATACGACTTGTGGATGAATTCCCATGATCACGACCGCATCACAGCGGAGGAAATTTCATACAAAGGAACGTTTTTAAAATCGCTCAAACTCAGGTAACAAGAGCCAACCTAGTGCTCCACATTCCTGCTTTCCCCTCTTCAAAAGCTCTACTCTCAAGAAGTTATGGGTGTTCAAAAGAGGGGTACTTTTCGAGTGTTTGGCTTGAAATTGGCTCCAGGTCGTAAAATAGCGCGCTCCAATGAGCAGCAAAGATAGCGAGCTCCAATGAGCATGAGCAGCTAAGTGGATGAAAAAAATTTTGTTGCCATCATGAAGTGCGCCCACCAAGCCATCTAAAGAGAAGGAGGAGAGCTCGGCGTTAGCCGGGCGATCCGACTGGTGTTACATATTGTATAACATGTAAAAAATTTGTAATTCAATATGTAGGTATGACGATAAGAAGGTTAAGAGAAAGAATTGGGGAACATCTCACCCATAGGAAGCACACAATACTCTACGATAATTTCTTAAAATGCTATGAAGGAATATATGTAGCAGTAGTCGACACATACGCATTCAATGATAAGGCTGAGAACGGCTCCAACAGTGTGCACACTCATACTGGCTGAGAACGGCTCCAACAGTGTGCACACTCATACTGGCTGACACGCCCCACCGGTCCGCAATCATGAAGCTGTACTGTCTTGCCTCTCTTGCCAACTTTCCGAACGAGCCTCCTACCGCTGTGATCGAAAGTGCCCCAAAATTTCGTCGTAGGGTGGGAGAGGGGGATACATACAGCACCAGTGAGAGGAAAAAACACGCAAAAAGGTAATCAGCAGCTGGAGAACACGGCAAATTTCTGTATAAAGCAAAGCGAATACGAACCTCTCTCCCAAGGACACAGTCAAATAATACCCCTCTGGAATTCTCCCAATATGTGTATAACCCCCGTGAAACAGGAAAAACCAAGTATCAGAAAATTTTCATCAGGACAAGTACGATCCTCCTTCCTCCAGCTGCCGAATACAACCCACCCCCAGCCCGCTTAGTTTTCCACAGCGTAGGACGTGCCCTGATCATAATAGTACTGGGTTACAGACTTGGGGCAGTAGCTGGACAATTCCGAATTTTTTGATTGGTTCAACCACTTTTCAATGAAGCAACGACACTTCTTCAACATATACCTATTGGGCACTCATTTACCACGGATCATTAAAAAAAACATCTGTAAACACGGCGACGGCAACAACCTAATGAATGGCGCTAAATGTCTCTAAAAGATGCTTGAATTCTGGTGAGATAACTTTGGAATTGTTCAGGTCCTGGAGAAGCATTTTGCTGTCTTGGTGTTTGAATACCGTCAAACGACTCATCTGCGTCATTCGGTAGTGGTGCCTTCTTCGACCAATTGAGTTTTACTCCACTCTTTAGTTCATGTGACATTTAGCTAACTGATATACCATTCAGCCATTATGTGACAGCACAATAAGTGATCTAATGAATTTATGTGTTTTACCACTAATCTTGGTATCAGTACAATCCTTCTCGCCATTCTTGATCATTCTTTCTATTTTTCCGTGGTTGTCACTCCAACATTATTGCTGAACGGGTTTGTTCTCAGTCCACTGTCACGTTTTATATAAAACTTTCGTTGATATCTATTGACAGCGATGTGACTTTCATCTGACCTGTCAAGCTTTCTTACTTACTTACTCGTCTAGAACTGCTTGGACGCCGCTCATTGTTACAAGGGCGATAACTGTATCATTTGTTCGTTACAGCTTGTTATCCTCATGTTGCTATATGGAATAATGTCCGCAATCGCAGTTGCAGCCTCCCTGCAGCATCGTAGTATTCACCTTTTGCTTATACTTGAGCTGAGATCGCATAAGCGGGTTACAGGTCATTATGCCTCTGACTGTTCAGGAGCTGGTTTTCAATGCACGTACCGTTTTTTTCGCTGTTTATGGGTGGTGGATGAATTGTGCGGTAGGGCATATCGTCTTGCACTTGAAAGCGGCGCTACGAAATATTCCCATGATGACAAATTAGTGGCGATCTTAGATATCGTCATTATGTGAAACTACCAAGTATTTTGTTTCAGTAGCGGGCATAACTGCATGTATTTCTCTTACTGCTCTCTTCTTGCAACCTCGGCATGCTATTTGCTTTTGTTTCATTTGTTTTTGGCTTACGAGATTGTTGAGTGGAATATTTTTTCAGTTTTTCATTATTTTGGCTGAATCGTCGCGTTCAGAGGTCCGACCATGTCCCAGATTTTGGGTTTACGATCTACATCACAACCCGTCACCTTGAGCGATTCCATCGTCGTGTCCGGGACCCCTCTGGAAGGTTGCAAAAACCGTAAAAACCATTTCGCTGACGTTCCTATAGTTAAAATTCGCGGTCCGCGATAAAGAGAAAATGAGAAAAGAGAAGATAAGAAAATGAGTTGAGGGAAAAGAGAAGAGAAAGAACTCGTCTTGAAGAAAAAGCGTCAAAAGAAATGTCGGAAACTTCTTTGGAGGCAGTTGGCACGATGATTTGGTGCTCGGCCTAAAATGCTAGTAGGGCGCTATATAGTGGGGAAATGGCGAAAGAACGGAGTGAAACGGTCAAAATCCTGCGAAGAAAGAGCCTCCGTTCTCAATGTGTTAGAAATCAATTTTGGACGAGTTTCCTGTAGGCATCTTGCCAATAACCGCTACCGAAGGTACGGCTGCATATGTGTACTCATATATCCATGCAGCATCACGGCCGCTTCATACCAATCCCTTCGCTTCATAATTTGCTTAGCAAATGAATCGATTAGAGCGTCAGGAACGGTCGTCCATTTGTGGGCGGGGGCGTGGCGGGCGTTTGGGTCGGTATGTTGTGGCTTGATAGGGCCCTTATAAGGGCACCTCCCTTGGAAAAGGCATTATGCAGCGCCTGCTCAGGGTCGCGGAATTCCGTCCTGCCAGGCGTATTAATCCTACTCGTCTTGGGGATTTATCGTGCCAACTGCCTTTAACACGTTGACGACGGTGTCGGACAATGCTGTCCGACAGCATACTGCTCTAATAAAGACGTGCGAGCAACCAAGTTTGTTCAAAAGATGTCTATAGGAGTAGGCTGAAATTCTGAAACGAACAGCACAGTGGTTTGGCCCGGACTGCCCGGCGCCCGCGCCACAGGCGCCGGCGCCAAAATACCTTAGGTCACCAAAATCGCTGAAAACTTGTCTCGTGGGGTAGCTTGAGCCCCTGAACACGAATATCACATTCGTTTCCCGCGAAAATGCCTGGCGTCCGCGCCACACACGCCGGCGCCAAAATACTCCGAATCACGCTGAAAACTTTTCTGGCGGGGTACTGCGACAGATAGCTTGTGTTGCGGGATAGTGCTCTCCGACTGTTATTGTTTTCATAAAATCAGTGCAGTTTGCTTCACCTTCTAGTCAAACAGGGCAAGTTTATGATTAATAAGTAACTTATAGGCGGTACTCGATCGCAGAATTTGGTGAACATGTGTTTATATTTAATTTTATATCTCAGCAATGCAGGGCAATAGAGAACACCATGGCATGAAACATACACACTCATATCAATACAACGATATGCATCAACAATTATGAGTTGATTCGAAACAATCTAAGCAGCAAAATTTGTTACACACGCTGCATCTTGACTTGGTCTTCTTAGCCAGATTCCTGGCAGTCGTTCTTCCAGAAGTTGCGCAGATCGAGGTGTAGCAGTCAGAACACTGTCGTCTGTTTTGAGCTCTTGCGGTTCTGATCACACACTAGCCTCCGTTTGCGTGATCGTGACCTGCTGGTGGCGTTGTTGAAGTTCTTGTACAGCAGGTCCTCAACAATCAATTCCTTGAAGTAATTTATTTTGATCTTCTGAATTTTCTCGCAATACAGGAACCAAGCGTTGACCAGGGCTGTCTGGGTTAGTAGATGAAAAAAGAGACGAATGTACCACTTAGCTGTCTTCCTCACAAACGGAGTATAGGCAGCCATCTGGTCACTGAGGTCAACGAACCCCTTCATTTTATTATAGTCGGCCACAACCAAGGGCTTGCCGCTTGGGTGACGGCTGCATCGTGTTTGGTCGGACGAGCATATGGATTATCTCGCTTGTCCTTCCATTTGAGACCATCACTTCCTTTCAGGTTCTGCTTGCAGATCAGCTCTCCCCTTCGCAGTTTCTTGTCTCTGACAATCTGAGGGATGCCCTTACGGTTCCTTCCGAGGGTTCCTACCAAATCGGTTCTCTTCTTGAGGAGATTGTGAGCCAGCGGCAAACTAGTGTACCAGTTATCGGTACAGAGGCAGCGTCCCTGCATCAAGAAATCATCCATCAACGGCGCGAGCTAGGAGCAGCCTCTGCCACACTAGTTGTTCTTTTTGGATCTTTTCCGGCGTAAACTTTGATTTTCTGGGTGTAGCCAGCACGAGAGCAGAGCTTGAAGAGCTTTATTCCGAAGCGATGACGCTTTGATCCATTGTACTGCCAAAACGAAACACCTCCTCTGAAGGGCACCATCGACTCGTCGATGCACAGCTCCCTATCGGGTTTGTACATGGCTTGAAATCTTCTGTTCAGATAGTCAAGGATAGGCTGCACTTTGTAAAGCTTGTTACTCTTATCAGCAGCAGCGTTGTCGACGAAGTGAAGATGCTTTTGGATCTCTTCAAATCGATCTCTGGCCATAAAATCTCCAGCAACCGAATGTCCGTTTCTAGCCAAGTTCCGAGGTTTCAGCGACCAGTAATTCCGCTGGTTATCAAATGGACAGCGGGACATCTGCATACAGAGGCCGAAGAATATCCTCAGTTCATCTGGATCCGTGTGAGTCCAATCACGTTGCTTTGCTTGTCCATAGACGTTGGTCTGAGTAACTATCATGGCGAGAAGTTCTTCTGAAAAAAACAGCTCGTAGAATTGGAGTGGCGTCTCACAGTTCTCCACTTCTGCACTAAGTCCAACAGGCTCGCTGAAGGTCCATCTGTCATATTTTTGAGCCTCGTCCTCCCACGTATTTTCTGCTTCTTCTTCGTCGTCGTCTGAGACTTCAGAATCAAGTTCATCACTGTCGGAGTCAGGGACTACAGCAGGGGCCAAGTCATCTCCCTCCATACTAGTGGCTTCAGCATCGCTATCAAGCAGTAGTTCGTCAAAGCTTTGGTTGATTTCGTCGATATCGGTATTCAGAGCGCTCATGGTGACAGGACTGCTTAGGCAGCGTTCAGACTTCGCGACAGCAGCGCTTCGGTCGCGCTTTGAACGCGATCGATGCAGTCAAAGACGTCAAAACGTTTGATCGCGTAACGACCGACCGAAGTCGCGAAGTCTGAACGCTGCCTTATAGAGGTGATAAGGATTGCGGGGATCCCACTTTTATAGCCTGGCCTTGAATTTGCCTCGAGTTAATTGAAAAAATTCAAATACTTTTCGAGGTTGAAGAAAATTTCGCGGTTTTTTGCATTTTCTTGTTATTTCCTACTCACATCACTGATTTATATGGAAATTACCATTTTTCAGTCAAGAAAAACGTGCCGTCCCACGCGCAAGTCATGAATAAAACGGCTCGTCGTCAACGTGTTAAAGACACATAGTACTCACACCACATTGAGGGTGTATGAGACTATCAGCCCCCAGCTGTCGATGTGTCGTGGTCCCTCCGCCCAAACATGCCCAGGAATGGAGATACAGGACCGTGAAACACGCTAATTCTTCCATGCTCCGCCTTACACCTTTTTTGCTACGCAGATCCGTCCTTCAATAAACCGTTGCATGGCAGCGCGCGTGTCGCGTGCGGCTCCTTGGCACTTTGCCAAGTCCTTTAATTGCGCTTTCAAATACAAGTAAAACGCAATTTCCTGATGCGGATAACATTGGAGGTGCTGCAAAATAAGAACAGAAGATGATGACGAGGGTCAGAACTTAAAAGCAACTGTGCCACTTCTGCAACATCCCTCGGAGGCCGCGTATTTCCACGAAACATGAAAATAAAACGGCATACTCGTTAGTTTGATACAAGCAAAACGCAATTTCCTGATGCGAATAAAATTTAGGTGTTGCTCATGCTTCAAAATCCATGTACAAGGAGATGAAGATGACACAGGCTAGAAATGAAGCACGATGTAAATGTAAATAAAACAAAAATGAAAAAATCAAGGAAAGGCAAATTAGTTGAAATCGCCTGTAAATTTCTACGATCCGGCGCCAATCCGGCGCCAAGCCATAGAAATACTTAGAATAAACGAGTGGGACGCTTGGATTGTTTTTATTCTCATGTTTTCTGGGAATGCGCGGCCTCTGATGGATTCTGCAGATGCAGCCGAGTTGCTCTTGAGTTCTGGCCCTTGTCATCATCTTCTGTTCTTATTTTGTAGCACCTCCAATGTTATCCGCATCAGGAA